GGGGGGGGGGAAGGTGAGGTTGCTGAATTGTTGGTGCGAGACGTCATCATGAGGCTTAACCATGTCTTCCTCCAACGCATGAATCATTGCTCGGACACCAACGTCATTTTTCACCATTTCACTTATAAACAATGGCCGTTGATGGTGTGTGTGCGTGTGTATGAGCGCTTATGACCTCCCTACTTGCCTTCCTTCGATAAACGCTTATTCATTAGTCAGATGGTGATAAATTCGTCAAAAATTAGACTAACATTTTCCAATGTGTACGGAGGTAGAGGTTTGTGCTCGTCTGGTTTTTTAGTTTACGTCGTGCTTTGCTTGCGGGGTGTGTGGGGGAGGGAGTTCGGCGTGTGTGTGTGTTTTGATGGTGGGACGCTTTGTGCATGCCTGATTTTGGTGAGGTCTCGGGTAGGGCTGTCTCGGTAGACGCTCAAAAGACATTTAGGCAACGGAGCTTGCCAAACACTTGTAGTTGTTGATGTGCCTGTGTCTTTGCGTGTGCGTATGGTTTTTTTGTCTCTACGATTCATTTTGGACTGTGCGTACTTGGTGTTGGTCTACTCTTAATTCAGCTTCAAAATTGGAGGAGGAGGTTCTTGTACGTCTTCCTGTGCAGAAATCTGATGGGGCGAGGTGGCAGAAAGTGTCGCTTGGAAATGGTTTGCACAATGTGTGACTGCGGTGATGAATCATTCAGGATTGGATGTGCCAACATTGGCTCCGAATTTTCCTCCTCCATTATGGAGTCTTCAAAGTAGAATAAACTCACGAACATGATGCTGTGTCTTCTTCAGCCTCTTTTGATGTCAAAATAGTTGAGAAGGATTCCCAACTGGTGTAGAAAGAGGTAGCAATTTCCTCTGGTTACTTTGGTAGCCATCTTGCTGCTGCCGAGCCATGCCGGAGGCTCACGTCTTCTCTTTCTGTCCGGATAAAAGCATTCGGCTATGTCTTGTGCCTCCACTTTGCCCCAGTTTTATTGCCCAACTGTCTCTTCTGTCATGCACTGACACTCGTAGGTGACAGTCACTTAGTGAAGATATCTACGAAGAGGCTTCTGATTTGGGGGACAATTTCTAGGTACCACTAAGATCACATTGCATTGAATATTTTGTAGCTAGTCTCTTGTCAAAAGTTTATTTGTCTCGTCACCCCATTCGACAGCAGTGATATTGACCACTCTATCGATAAACCATTCACCTCCATTTGTTTACGCTAGTGTGACGTCTCCAGGCTTCAGGCGTAGGCGAACTCGATCCAACTGTACAGATCTTCCCGTTCCGTCGTCTAGTAAACACATCAAGTCAGTGAAAAGCTCACTGTGACGGCTCAAGGTGGTAGCCAATTCGGTGTGCTTCTGAAACTCTCTTCCTTCCATTGCGTTGGCCCCAGTAGATCCGGTTTATCCGAGTTTGGCCACATGATCAGTTCAACCACTAACGTCCCTTCAGGGCCACGTTGAAAGTGTCAACGTGTTTGTTTCGCTCTTTGTCCGAGTAGAAAGAGGTAAATCGG